GTCCGTACCACCCTCGTCTAGCGTAGGGATCAAATGATCCTTGGCCCTAACTTGGCCAGAGATAGTACGACCTTTCCACTTTTTACCCTTGTCCAGGTCCGTGTGCCAGAAAGTGGATACTGGCATGGACTGCGCCTCAAACAGCACCACCTCTCTACTTAACACATCGTATGTTATGGTGGGCTGTCAACTCTTCTCAAAGAAGTGCACCCATAGGGGCTCTGGAATAGCACGAAAGAAGAGATTGACCAACTGGGGCTCAGTGACCCCGTGGTCTGGGACGGCTACAAGCTCGTCCATTACGCCTTTGAGTGCTCTGGCACTCCTCCACTGACGTGAGTGGATAGTCTGCAGTTTGTCAGAGGCCCTAATGCCTCGCGTGACATCTGCAAATCGCTCCTTAAGGAGCCGAAAGAACTCAGGGAGAGGGGTGAGCTTAGAATAAGCGACCATGTTATTCTCGCATTGTGCAGCGCGAGCGAGCGATCTAGCAAAGCTGGCAGCCTCATCCTTGAGGACCTGTTCCTCTAGCATAAACGTATGTATTTACACTGGCCTCCCAATTATCGAAATTTTCCTCTTTCTTCCCGCCGTAGGACTCAGGAAACTTCATCTTAAGGGGCTCTCTACAGGGGCGTGGCTCTTCCTCCTTTGGCACAACCAGCTTTGCGCTCTCAATGCCGCGCCTGTACAAAACTTCTCCGTGCCCTCCAATCTCGCCTGCACCTCAGCACCTACGTGCCACATCATCTCACGTGTGAAATCTCGGAAGCCTAAGCGTATGGAGTGTAAGGTCATATCTTGGGCTCTCAAAAACTGATACCGCTCCTCCCAGGCCTTGGTTAAGAGCTCAATGTTCTTGGACATAATATTTAATTTCCCTTGTATGTAAGCTTATGCCTGGATCTGCGCTCGTTGCTCCTTGATCACCTCCAACTCCCTCGCTATTTGACTCACGTCATCCATCCTCCTTTTCCTCTCCCTCATAAGACGCAGTTTCCATTCTAACTTTTTCTCCTCCTCGATTGTCTGGCATCTTAAGGGATCTTGTTCCGCTTCCCACTCCTTAATTACAACTTCCTTCTCCTCTGGGGGAACATACAACATGGCCTCTTCCTCCTCTCCCAGAGATAAGTTAGCTACCCACTCAGAGATCTTCTTTTCCATCCCTGATTCCTCCTTCGTGCCACTGAACTCACCTCTCTCCTCCGTGCGTCTTCTCTCCAAGGGATCCTCCTTTTCCTCCTCTTCTTCTACCGCTTCTTCTTCTACTTCCTTCATCTTCTCTTCCTCCTCCTTCCCCAGTCTCTCCATCTCTTCCTCCAACTTCTTCATCTTCGCCGCCTGCTCCTGCTGTAAGGCCAACTTTTTGGCCTGCCTAATCAACTCCTTCTTGGCCTCCTCCTCTTTTCTCTCTTTAAGTACGGCAGCGGCTTGCTCTTCCTGAGCTTTCGTATAACGGGTGGTAGTCTTGCCACTACATGTCTCAACCATGGTGAAAGGTGCACAACAAAAAACCAGTTCCACTCCTCACCACTTGACTCACACCCCTGATTGACTCAACTTAGAACTGACTCGATCTAAGGACCACAAAATCTTAACAAGATCCTGTCAGCTATGGTCTCTACCCTGGACCTAAACTAAGGCTGTTACTACAGGACTTACTGATGATCATGAGACATTTAAGGAGATCCCCCGTAACTCCTCAGGAATTATTTAACGTCGCGGACAGGACGACGCGATCAGCAAGTCCTCTCAAGACTTAGACAGCCTGTTGTGCAGCCCACAACTCGGATTTTGGGCCTACTGTGCCACAGCGAGCAGCCCGCCGGTCAGTACCGGTCCTTCAGAGGGTTCGTGTCCTCCGGGACAGTCGAGTCATCAGACACGGCCTTTAGCCCTACTCAAACGGTCAACAAGGCTCTATCCTTCATACATAGAGTTCCTATCACCTAGACAGAAGAGACTCAATGCAGAAAGAAGGGACAGACAGACTCAGCAAGTACCATGGGGTGAGCGCACATCCATAGGGCGAGGGGATAGGCTGAAGGCTTGGCGAGAATATACCAACTCCAGCTTGGTCAAATTCGTGGTCAACAGCTCTGGTCAACGCATTGGTCAACGCTTGGTCAACGCCGGTCAAACCCCCGGTAAACACTCTAGTCAACCTCCGTCAACACCGTGGTCAACGCATGAGTCAACTCCCAAGTCAACTTCGGTCAACCCCTTGGTCAACGGGTTGGTCACCCTCAACTTAGCTATGGCTGCCACCCCCTTTTCTTCCTCGCCAACCTCCTTATCCTCTTTCTTCCTTCTTTCTTTCTCCTTTTTCTCGCTTCACGCCGGCTATGGCTTCCTCCACTCTCGTTGTCCCTCCTTCCTTCTTCCTTGTCTATGGTTTCTCTCTCCTTCGTCCCTCCTCCCTTCTCCTTCGTCTCTCCTCCCTTCTCCTTCGCTTCACCTTTCTCTCTCCTTCGTGATACCCTGTGTCCGAGCTCCGCGGCTATGGCTGCTTTCTTCTTTGGACCACATCGCTCCTCCCTCTCTCTCTCTCTCTCTCTCTCTCTCTCTCTCTCTCTCTCTCTCTCTCTCTCTCTCTCTCTTCGTCGTTGTCTTCTGTGCAGGTACTCAGCACCTCACTCCGCAGCGCACCTATGGTGGAGCTTCTTCGATGGTGCAACTTGGCTATGGCGCCTAACTGGCGCGCGCATCTCCTTCCCGCTGGCAACGACGATGGCGCATGGGGTAACGGGAACCAGCTCCGATACCAGCTCTTGCGCCTTATTTGATTCCAAACAATCATTCTAAGATTCCATTTTCTTATAGCTAATTTTGGATACAAAAAATTCCAAAAAACAAAAACAAAAACATAACATAACCTATGTCATGGACTGTCAGGAACAGCAACAACACCCAATCAATGAAATAAGAGTTGAGTAGTAGTCCCCACACCGCCAGTATGTTCACTTTCTTTGAGGCAATTCTCACCCCAGAACCATCTGGACCGTTGGAAATTTGTGACTGTATGACCATAACCATACATGCCCCACGGAAAGCAATCCCCTATACTTCTGTTCCATTTGTAACCTTCTGCTTTCCTCCCCCCATCCCCATCCCCATCCCCCCTCTCCCCTACCCCCTACCCCTTTCTCCTTCCTTTTCTCTATTTCGTCTTTCTGGAGGTAAAGGGTTGCCACATATATTAGCATACCCTTGACTACCAGATCCGTCGGAACCTGGACGCACGTTAGGGCCTGATGCACACTTGGGAACCAGTTAGGGCCTGATGCACACTCGGGAACCAGTTAGGGCCTGATGCTCACTCGGGAACCAGTTAGGGTTGATGCTCCAGGTTAGGCACCGGGCGCATGAGGTCTGGTCCATCCGTCTGGAGCCTTGGGCCCGACAGTCTTCACCCGAATAGAACGCCCGGTCATTATAGCTGTATCTGGACTGAAAATGGCACCAGATACGGCTATAATGATTGGGCATTCTATTCGGGTGAAGACGGTAGCTGCGACCCGAGTGTGAGCATGAGACACACTCCTGGTGGTCATGCAGCTCAAGCGAATCGCACACATCTCTGTCACTAGAAGCTTTAGCAACTACTTATCCACCCCTCGGAACAAAACTCCTTATCATCATGAATGTATACTCTATCCCAGCCAAGTACAGTCATGATGATAGAAAGAAGTTGAGAGATGGTTAACGGAGACCTAAAATGTTCAGCCAACTTGTCATGCCATTTATAACAAACCCCCCAAGGGTCATTTTATCCAAACTTGGCAGCAATTCATAGAGTGGAGACCATACTAACTAATTGCAAACAAAAAATTGAGAAAAAACAAAAAAAGTTAAAAAAACTATAAAACAGCGAGGCAAAAGTGCACTTTCATGTCAGGACCTGAAAATGGGGGTCCCCGTTAACCATTAGTGATGTTCGAGGAAATGAGGCCGCAGTGAATCTCATGCATACATTGCCCAAGGCATGTCTTGCATCTGCACCGTATTCCCCAGAATAGAACGTACAGGGCATACTTGCAACAGCAGCCGCACGGGTGTACAGTCCGGTGTGCCGCACAACGTGCGGAACCTGCTCGTGCGCCGCGCCAGAAAAAAAATCTGTTTTTTTTTGGGGGGGGGGGGTCGTAGATACAGAAGAGTGTACTACCTCAGGAACAGATCCTGTTCAAGTTCTATCGTACAATCTTTCTTTTTGTCTCTTTGGGAATCATAAATAGCCTCAAATAGGTCTTTGGGACATCAGTCTTGAGTCTCGACTGTTAAGTGGTGAAATTGCTCTTCCAACTTCCTCCTCCCCCCCCCATCCTACAACAACTTTTCGAATGGGGCGCAGGTGAACACTGATCCAGGCCTGTCACCCCTTTTCTTTCCTGGGTGGCTATTTCCCCCGTGGGCTGCACATGTCGTGCGCTGCACCGGAACCGTGCGGCTTGTGCGCCGCACGTGCAGAATTGCCCGCACGGCGTGCTCTTGCATGTACGATGTATGGTCATTATTGCTGTATGTAGACTGAAAGCTGCCCCAAATGCAGCTCTAATTACCCGATGTTCTATTCGGTTGAAGATGGTAGCGACGAACCAACGATGCATAAGATGCACATGCACTCACCCTAGAGTGCATCTCGAGTGCATATCTAGTTCTTCCGTTAGATTCACTCGAATACCTCTCAGGAATGGTTTGGGCCACAGGCCCCTCTTCTACTCTTCATGCTCTCTCTCTCTCTCTCTCTCTCACACACACACACACACACACACACACACACACAGCGCTCAGCATTGACATTAGTGCAGAAGATGGTCCATATCAGAAGCCGTGGCAATAGAACCGGGTCCTCATCATCAGAAAGGAGTTTAAGGAAAGGACCTGTCTATCGCATATTCTAGCAGCTGGGGCATGGACAGATATGAAGGCTTGAGAGAGAGAGAGAGAGAGAGAGAGAGAGAGAGAGAGAGGGGGGGGGGGGTGAAGTAATCTACCCAACAATGAAGATGACAACACTGATAACAGCATGAGCGAGTCCCAGCTCCACATCATGCTGCAGCAACCACCATGCCTGCACAATCCATGCCCAGACATCAGCCCACACCATGCTATTCATCATGATTTAAAGCACTCCATCGACATCACAATTAAGTGCACTGGGTCGAGGTCAAGGTCATTGGCATGAGAATGAAGGGAAGAGAGCCAGAAGCTCAGCACTGAAAACTCAGCAAACAAAGGCAATTAGTGAGCACTCACCATAGACAAAGCCCCAAAGGGCCTGAACGCTCTGAGCCAGGACTTGCTGGTGCTATGCTCGTGCTAAGACAGCAAGAACCTGGCTGTTTTACAGTTATGTTCATGTGTTCTAAGGACAAACATAGCACAAATCGATCCAGGACCCACTGGAGCTGTATCCAAGCAATGGTGGCCACTCCATCCTAACACTCATCTCTTTCATAGTCTTTCCTCTTTTCTTTTCTTTGCTTCCAATGTTTCTGTCCGTCCGTCCGTCTGTCGGTCTGTCTGTCTTTCTCTGTCTGTCTGTCTGTCTGTCTGTCTGTCTGTCTGTCTGTCTGTCTGTCTGTCTGTCTGTCTGTCTGTCTCTGTCTGTCTGTCTGTCTTTCCCTGTCTTTCTCTGTCTTTCTCTGTCTTTCTCTGTCTTTCTCTGTCTGTCTGCCTGGTGCTGGGGTTAATTTGTAACGTTTTGCTTGAATGCCTGTACCAGGTCTGTTCTATCTCCTTCCATAGGTTCTGAGCCTTCTCGCATTCTAGGACGCAGTGATTGAGTGTCTCTGTGGCTTGGGAGTTGCAGACTTTGCACCATGATTCTTGTTCTGATCTTCCCTCCTTTCTTCGTCTTCGTGCCAGCCAGTGGTTCATGGGGACTACTCTATAGGTTATGAGCCAGAGTAGGCTGGCTAGTTTAACTGGTGTAGCGCAGAAGATTGAATTCCAGGAGGGTTTGAAGGACGTGTTGGCAAGTGAGCTTTCTTCCTTTTGCCATCTTTTCTGTACTATCATCGACGTCGCGATGGGATTGGAAAACAGTTTGTAACTGAGTTTGGGGGTGTAGTCTGTTATTTTGTGTCTGCGGACTGTCGTCGTGGTGGTGCCTGAAATGCCCCATGTCCATTCGGAGGGGTCAACTTCGAGGTGGCAGATGTCAGTCTCCGGCCTATATAGTCTATTTCGTTCACTTTCTAATACTCTTATTCTTCTTAAGTTACTTACTTTAAAGGATCCCTTTGCTCTGCTTTCCACGTTAAGGAAACTCACCGGGTTGCCTGAGTCTTCCAAAGGGAAAATGCTGCATGTCATCCATTCGTTGTTGTGTAATTCACTGCTTACCACTCTTAAGATTTCTGTTGTAGTGGTTTGATTCTTCTGCCCTGCCCAGACCCCCGACACCCATTTTTGCTCTGATTTTAATAGGCGCCACCATTCCATTGGGATGCTTTCAATGATGCTTGCTAGGTTGGCTTGAAGCTTGTGGTTTCCTTTTAGGGTAAGTCTGAGGTCCTTTTCCTCCTTCCAGTTGCTTGTTGACTCATTCCACAGGTGCTGGATTTGCCATATTCCGTTTTCCAACCAATGTCCCCATTTGGTGTCTGTTTTTAGAAAGTGAGAGGCTTTCACCTTTGTCGTCCTTGATCCAGGGTTTGCCAAAAATTGGGTTGTCTTAGAACTTCATCTTTCCTTCTCGGGCCGAGCTTGTTCTCTGGATAGATTTTTCTCCAGCTGTGTAGAAGGAGTTCCCAGAAGGATTTGGAGGATTCGTTTTCTGTTTCTTCTGGCGGGTTCAGATGGGGGACCAGGGACTTGTTCATTCTTGGGAGGGGCCATCGTTTATTGAATACCCAGAAGAGACCGGACCAGGGCTGGGCCGGCAACCGGCCAGTCGAGCTGGCCCGGTCCAACAGGGGCAGGACCGGGCCAAGGGGGGTCAACCGGCAAACCGGATGACCCAAAAAAATGCCCCAATTTTTTTTTTCTTTTCTTTTCTTTGCGGGATCCGACTGCGCTTGCCGAGATCTGTCGGATTCTGCAATAAAACTTTGAATGTTGGATTTTTTTTTTTGGGGGTGTGCCGGGAGGGGTGGTGGTGGTAAGGGGGGTGTTGCGTTCAGGGTTTGCAGGCCTGCAAACAACATCATGCATACAAAATGGAAGTGAAGCCAGACAATACTATGAGGCAGAAGGTTGTGAAGAACGGAACGGTAAAGAAAAAGAAGAAGAATAGCAGAAGAAGAAAAGAGGGAAGGAGGAGGAGGAGAATAAGAAGCAGAAGAAGAAGAAGCAGAAGAAGAAGAAGAAGAAGAAGAAGAAGAAGAAGAAGAAGAAGAAGAAGAAGACGAATGGAAAGATGAGACTCATGACAGAAAAATAAATAAAGATGAAGATCTGCAGCAGTTTGTAATGTTCATGGTGGAACTCTCTCTCTCTCTCTCTCTCTCTCTCTCTCTCTCTCTCTCTCTCTCTC